TTCACTGGACAATTTATGAAAATTTGTGCCTAAATTTGTCCTATGATTAGGGGACTAATTATGGTTAGATTTCTCAATTAGATTATACAGGACGATCAATAATAATCATACCATATGATCTTTGATATTTTATGGGACGATCCCCCATCGTCCAAGCTGAAAACTATAATTTGCTTCTAATTATACAGGAAATCATATAAAATATCCTGAGGAATATGCAGAATAATATGTAAATTGTTGCCCATCTTCCCATAATGTACTAGCTGATTAATACATTATCTTGAACTAATAGTCCTAGACGATCACAGAATCATATTGGGAGATCTCTACAATTACTTGAACTAATCATATAGAGCAATACTTATCGTACTAACTTAAAGAGCTATTTTGTTCTAATCATGCAGGACGATCTAAGGATCAAACTGGATGATCTTTAACAAAAAACTAGAAATTAGGTGTTCTTTTGAAGGCTTTCTATTTAATCTCTCATATTATCTTTTAAGAGATCTTTTTCAATTGAGTTGACCTGAGAGAGAGCTTAGAGAAGGAAAAGAGGAGAGCTTTGGGGAGAAAGATCCTTATGAGGGGGAGTTGTGAGGGATTCACAAAGGTTACTCTAAGCAAGGTTTTCACCATCTTCATTAATCTTCTCCTTAGTTCCTTGGTGGATTTGGGGAGACATTCATTAGTATCAGGTCCAAGGTCCTCTTCCTACTCTAAGAAGGTGTAAAAGGATTCCAAGGTTCTCTGTATACTCCATGATGGAGTAAAAGTATTTCAATATTCTCTGCCTACTCCAAGAAGAAGTAAAAGGATTCCAAGGTTCTCTGCCTACTCTAGGAGGGAGTAAAAGGATTTCAAGATTCTATACTTACTCTATGATGGAGTAAAAGGATTCAAGGTACTCTACCACACTAGGTCGATGGAAAGATTTATTAAGGGCTTCATGAATTTTTTTCTTTACTTTAAAATCTAAAGACTATATATGTGTTTCAACTTTTGCTATAAGTACTGAGATCTGTTATAAATTTTGCAAAATATATAAATGAACAAAGGAAGTGAAACAATCTAGGTTAAACATTCTTCTTCATGATTATAAACTTTTTTGCATGGAATCTTGCCTCCATATTAGCCTCTATTTTCTAAATTTATTTTGACAAATCAAAAGGGCTTTGTTAAAGGCAAATTCATTGCTCACAATGTCTTACTATAGCCCAGGAATTAATTCATTACATTAATCGCAAAGTGATTGGTCATAGTTTAAATTTAAAGCCTAACATTTCAAAGGCATATGATAACTTCAATTGGGATTTTATGTTCAAAGATATGAATTTATTTGGTTTTAATAATAAGAGTATATGTTTCTTTAAAGGTGTTATTGAGAATGTTTAGTGTTTTGTTATTATTAATGGTAGATCTAAAGGTTTTTTTAAAGCTAGTCTAGGACTCAGGCAAGGTGACCCCTTGTCTTCTGCTCTTTACATTATGGCTGATGCATATCTATCAAGTGGGTTGAATCATATATTTGTTCACTAAAAAAATATTTCTTACATTACTTATAGTGGTATGAAAATTTTTCTCTTATTTGTTGATGATTTTATTATTTATGCAATGGGGCAATAAATAATGTAAACATAATCCATCATTTTTTTAATAAGTTTGAAAGTGAAAGGTTTGCATTTCAATCTAAAGAAGTGAACTTTTATTAGGAGGAAAAAGATGAGTCATGGATCTACTAATTCTATTAAGATTACACTATTTTTTCTAAGCAATATTTCTCTATTAATTATCTAGGAACCACCATTCACAAAGGTCATAAGTCCTTTTTATTTGACAAAATATTACTAATATTAAGAATAAACTTATGTCTTGGGAATTTAAGTTATTGTCTATGGGTCGTAGAATAATTTTGATCAAAAGTGTTCTTTGTTTTATTCCTATTTATTTGCTCCATGCATATCTATTTTCTCCAAACTTTAAATATGACTTTAGAGGTTTGCTCCATATTTGAGAAATTCATTAACAATTCTTTTGGGGTACTTCTCAGGTCAATAAGAAAATTCACTAGAGTGCTTGGAACTCCTCTTTTGGTCCTTTCAATGAGAGAGGGTTAGGGTGTAAGACAATTTAAGATATGGTGAAAGGCATCACCATTAAGCTTTGATGGAACTTAAGGATGAATAAATCTTTATTGACTAATTCTATAAACTTCAAATATTGTAAGAACTCTCACCCCTTTCAGTGCTCTTTTTAAACATTTGCAATCTTCAGTTTGGTCTATATTGTGAAAAATTTAGTGTCTTGGTGGGCTCATTCTCATAGGGGGTACTAGTAATGGGTTTTCCTTCTTTTAGTAGGATAACTAGATGGGTAATGATTCTATTGACTCTTTTTTAAACACCTATTATATATATTAAAGTGTCCTTTTTTTTATCAATGGCACATGGTGCAGGGAAAGACTTGCTGATCTTATTCCTAATTTTTGGTGAATATAATTTATTGTATTCCTAGTAATCTTCTTTTGCCTAATATGCTTATTAATTATTTTTTTGCTAATGGAAATTTTAATCTCAAGGATGTGTGGAACCATTTTAGATCTAAGAAGGCGGTTAATGCTATCTTTGGTAAAATTTTGAACTCTTCTACCTATTCTAATATTTTTGGTTTCATTTGGAGCCTTTTAAAAGATTTTATTCATGTGGATGAGAACTTAAAAACTAAAGACATGTATATCACTTCTACATGTCAATGTCACTTTCATTTGGAATGTATTGAACATTTTATCTTAAGTGGGCCCATTGCTTCAAAGGTTTGATGGTTCCTTGATAATGATTTCATGGTTAATTTGCAACCCTATTATAAGAATTGTTATGATATTCTTAAATATTGATTCATTAGAAGACCTAATTTTCATATGTTCACTTTAATTCCTATGACTGTTTTTTTTTTTCTTCTTTGGCAAGAGAGGAGAAATTGCAAGCATAATGGCACTATTATGAATGTTGGGAGGTTCTTCCTTTTCCTTAAGAATAAAATTCAAAAATTGATTAATGTTAAGGCGTTAAAGTTTAAGCTTTGTAGGGCAATGTTTCTATTTCTCTATTTTTCAATCTTGCCAATAGTGCTGACTTTCATGGGCATATCCTTTTTCTTTTTTTTGGACTAAACTGAAGGTGAATCAATTTAAATTAAATGTGGATGGATAAGTGTCCAATGCGGGCATTGGTTGTGGGGGCTTAATTCAAGATTACCATGGTAATTTTGTTATGAGCTTTACTTCGATGATTAGTAAGTGTAATATAATCATGGCAAAGATGGAGGCTCGTCTTCAAGGTTTAAGGATTTGTTTGGAATATAAAATTTTAATATTTTGATCAAATTTGATTCCAAATTATTAATGGCATATATTTCTTCAAATACCAACAACAATACTTCTTATTTTACCTATTAAGTAATATCATGGAAATTCTGAATCAGTTTGCATTCAAAATCACTCACACATGGAGGGAAGGGAACTATGTAGTTGATTGGCTTCCTAGGAAAGGTTCTACTATGTATGAGCCAACTATTTTTCACACTTATAATGATTTTTGTCACCTTAAAGGGATTATTAGTTTTGACCAAGTTGGTTTTCATTATTGAGCTTGATAAGATGCTTAAGTTTTTTTCTTTTTATTGGTGCTATGGTTTTTTGGGTTTCCTTGGAAGTGTATTGGTCTGGTCTGAGGTTCTTCTGGGTTAATGTTTCTGCTTGGGGTTGATTTATGTTGGTTGTTTTGTCTTGCTGGTTTTTGGGTTATTGGCTTTCTGGTTAATCATTGGGTCGCTTGCTGGTTGGGGTGTTAGGATGCTTTTTTGGGATAGCCTATGGTGATGTTTTTCCTGGGGATTCGGTGGGTGTTCTAATTTTGATTGGGAATTTTTTCCTACTATTTGGCATGTTCTGGGCTACTCTCCGTTCTAGGTTGTTTTGTTGTTTCCGGCCAATATGGTGGTAAGTTTCTCCCTGGTTGCTACTATTAAGTTTTTTTGGGAGTTGGGTTGGTACTCGTGTTGTGGGTGGTTTTATCTTTTTGGGCAAGTGAGTGTTCATTGTTCTTTTATTACTTTCTTTTTATCTATTTTGCTTTCGTTGTAGTGAATTTTTTGTAGGTATTGTCAATTGTTCCTGTTTAGGCTTAATTAAGGATCTAATTAGCTTTGGCTTTATTTTGAGTGTTGGCTCCTTGTGACCCACCTTTGAATTTTCTTCTATTTGTATTTAGTAGAGGTCTTAGATTCATTCAGACTTTTTATCTTTTGCTTGTAGCTCTTTGAGCACTTCAGAGTTTTTGATCTCTTTAAATACTTGTAATTTGTTTTCTATATTAACGTGTGGGCCATATATCGGATTTTAACAAAAAAAAAAAATTTGGGGCGTGACAATTATTTGATTTATTAGGGATCTTTGATATTTTCAATGTATATTCTATATTATGATCTCTCTCTCACTCTCCGTACTCACAAAATCCCCACCTTAAAATATAATTGACTTGAACAATTGTACAAAATTTCTTGTTGTGGCAATGGGAGGAGACTTGGGATGTCAAAATTGTCATTGAAGGTTTCCAACTTGGTTAGAGATTGAGCCATTGAGAACATGAGCATCAAATGTTGGTGGTTGATGAATGTTATAACTATTGCAAACAATCGCAAAGGTTATAATTTCAGCTACCTAAGGAGTTGTGAATCATCTTTTCCCCACAATTGCAAAATTACAAAAAGAGAGCTTTCCACCAGATTATGTACATAATGATTTTTTTTTTTTAATTTTTGTTATTTATGTTCAGACTGATTTTGTAGCTGTTTTTAATTGGTTGTAAATTCTTTTCTTAATGGCTAAAATTGCTGCTGCTGACGATCTTCAAAACTGTTTGAATTTTTTTTTTGTATCCCTGCGCGTTATCGTACTGATCATAAAATTCTTTTCATGGCATGCGTTTAACTCCACAATTTACTCATAGAAAAAGATAAATATTTATTACTTTTTCGAAAGGTCCCCTCGATTTATTACATATATATTGCAGCAGTACACTCAAAAGTAGTTATAAGGAAAACTGTAAGAGGCATCAAAGGGTTTCATTCTTCCATCCAGTCTTCTTCTGCTTCTTAATTAAGACGATGGGAAGATGCAGGAGCCATAAGCTGCAAGTTCACATCTTCACGTTAGTACAATTAACAAATATAAAACAGTTTCAAAATGAGATAATTAAACACATTATATTTTCTAATGTTACATGAAATATAGTGAAATGCAACACTAAGAGATAGAGAAAAAATATGTACTTACAAGGGTCAATTGTAGTAAGCATGGCATCACCACCAAAATTGCATGTGTGTGGATTGCTAGAGCGAGGTTGAAAATACAAATTAAATACCACAGAAGCATGATTAACAATAGTATTAGGATCATAACAGGCCCCGCCAAGTCTTATGGACCTACAATCAACAACATTGCATAGGACATTCATCGTATCAAGCAGATACTGAGGATTAGCATGAGGATTTGCGATGCACCATAAATTACCCTGAAAAATAGAAAATTAACTAAATTGTTTCAGGAATTTAATAAACATTTCAATAGAAAAGTGTAAGTAGAAACAGAAGTTTAATCATATGATTAAGTAAGACTAATTTTTGTTGATTACCCCGACCGGATCTTTGCTAATTGTTGCACTTGACTCTGCAAATATATAAAGCAATAAATAATTAGTAGTTATTGGGATTAGGGAGAATTTAGATCTGTAAAGCATTAATGAAGCATAAATTACCCTAAATAAATATAAAAAATTGATTAAATTTTGATAAATAATATTAATGATAATGAAACATAATTATTCATCAACTCCATTTAATTTATTTACTTGCAGGAATGAAGAAATTACCTATGAACGGTGTGAGTGATAAGATGCATGCAAATAATGTGATTGCAATACAGAAACGGGAGAAGCAATTTGTTGCCATTGATTCCAAATCGCTACTAGCTTTTCTTTTACTGTTCTTACTGGCGTAAGGAAAACTTTGCAATATTTATAGAGAATTTTGGCAAGAAAAAAAAAAAAATCTATCCACCTTAATATAGATGTTAGTTGATGATCTAATTATAAATTTAGCAATAAATAGAAAATAGTTACTGAATATAGTTGTGGGGTTACCTATGAGTGTGATTGCACTGTCGAAAAATGGGAGAAGAAACTGTCCATCCTGTTCAAGTCCCTAATCTTCAGCTCTTCCTTAACTATTGTTGTTTATTATGTTTTGAACTAAAATATAATAAAAGTTGGCTATATATGTAGAAAGATTAAGCTGGTAAAAACTGAAATGAAAATTCTCCTCGCCTTAACATAGAAAGGAATTTATCATTAAATTATAAATTTGGTAATAAATTAAGCAATGATTATTGCATTGTCATTAATAATGGATGCGATCATGTGCATGCCACTTATAGTGGACGAGATCATGTACTTGACCTTTTACTCCATAAGTTTATTTTTTATTTTGATTTGTGTTGGGAGCATAAATTTTCAATTTGTTCATGCACAAAATTTAAGTATGTTTACAAATAGCTTCAACCACCTCAAACAAACTCTTATGTCATTCTAAATCATTATAAAATGAAGTAGCGTTATTGCTCGTATAAACCACTCTTGAACTGAAGGATGCAACATCTCTTCCAAATTTCAAACGTACCAAATTGTGTTTTAGAATGTTTGGCTACAATCATCCTCCATCGTTGCCATGTCATCCAATCTCTTAATTCCTGGATCTAGCTAGAGCATTGTTCACATGATGACTAGTTCTTTTTTTAAATTCATGGGATTTCAAACAATTCATGATGTAAGTTGCACCTTGGTGGCGACTTAATTATATGGTTATTGGAGATTTAACGGTTGACCTTGAAAGTATCTTCTATTTTTACTCTAATTTTCATCACTCATCCATCCATATCATCCTCATCACTACAAATAAAAAAATTACAAATACGTTGTTAGAAGTCTACAATTTATACTTAATCATCACTAAAATATTCACAAAAAAAAAAAAAAAACATAATGAAAGGAAAATAAATCATCTGAGTCCAATCTTTGTACATTTCATCACCATAATTAGAAGAAATTCAAATTTTTTAGAAGAAAAAAAATCTATGATAAGGACAGCAGTTAAAAAAATTTATTATTATTTTCCAGTACAATTCTACGGCAAATTTTACAAATAGGTTAAGCTATCTCAAATAGACCCTCAATCACCCTCGAGCATTATAGGATGAAGTAGCATTAGTGCTCTTATAATCACCTCCCGAACTGAAGGAAGCAAATCTCCTCATCTCCTCAATACTACGGCTGCCTGCGCCTTCTTCTTCTTCCCCTAACCCTAAAAAATCTCTAGTCATCCCCCCTCCCCCATACTCCAAACCCCCACCTTTCATAGACCTCACTAACCCACTAAAAAATGCTGACGACGATGACGATGACGATGCCATTACCCCCATCTCCGCGGCCTTCTGCAACAGCGCTGTGGCCGACATAGATGCAGCAGCAGCCGCTGGTCTGTTTATCCAAAGATTCAAATCGGCCTTCTCATCAGAGCCGTTGCTCAACGAATCAACGGCGGGAACTGGTGGTTCCTGCATAAGCGCGTCGCAAAATGCGCGGTGCGTGACGAAGCTATCTTTACGAGAGAACAATGTTCCGCAATCACAACGGTACTCTCGTGATCCGCAGGTCTTCGAATGAGCTTTATAGTCAGAGTTAACAGCATAACGTTTACCGCAACGATCACATTTCCATTTTTTTTCTCCATGTTTACGACTGAAGTGTTTTTTGATACCGGTAAGATCACCGAGGGCACGGGCCGGGTCGTGGTGGACGCAAGTGGGTTCGGGGCAAACGAAGACTCTTTTTCGGACCGGGGACCCACCCGGAGGACGTTGGCGGAGTTTCCACGGTAAGTTGTGCCCACGGCGGTGGAGTTGAAGGTTTTGGTCGCGTTGGAAACCTTTGTTGCAGATCTCGCATATGAAGCGGTTTGTTGCCATTAGGGTTTTTGGTGATAGAGCTATCACCTCCGCATCAGGATCTGCACATATATAGCAGGATATGTTATTTATAAATTTCAATTTTAGTAAATATTTGGAGGATTAAAATCTTAAAGTTATAGCACAACTTTAAAGCAAAGAGATTTCTACAGCACTTATCCCAAGCCAACTTTATAATTTTGATTCATCTTGATAATAGTTTGATATGATAATTATTAAATCTTATTATAATTAAGTTCTAAAAATTATTAATTAAAAGTTGAAATTTGTTAATTTTTTGACTATTTGCTTCATAATTAATGACTTTGTATGAGAAACAATGAGGAACAAACTTTGAATTCTTGAAATCTTACGAATGTTGAGATTTACTAAATTTTGGATTCAGCTTATGCAGAGTTGAAGCATGATTTATCAAAACCGAAAAAGTTTCTTATCTCGAAAATTCCTTTTGATAGGATTTTAAGCTAAAAATTATCTAAATCCTACAAAAAATAAGATACAAAGAATCTGTGAATCTGTTATATCATATGAATGGTAAAATTTAACAAATACTACTGGATTTAGACTTTGTTTCAGACAGCTTCCTTATTTTTTTCTACAATAATTTCTGGCACAAATATTATAAAAAAATAATAAAAAAATAGCGGTCACAAGCTATTCCTAGCATAGTCTTAATTAATGGCAGGCCTAAAATGAAATTTGTCAAAGAAAAATATTTAGATTAGATATCCAGTCCAAAGAGTTGATTATTATTTGTCTTAAAATTATTATATTTACTTTGAGATGAGCTTATTATAAATTTTTATGAACTACTCTTATAAATCAAAGACTTTAAAACGCGTCTTAATTAAATTTAATAAGAACAACTTTAATCATTTCTTGGTATCTCTAAAATTTTATTTGGCAAAATTTAAGCTAAACCATGTTTAAATTCAATATAAAATAGGAAACCAAACAGTCCCTCAACTTGTATGATCTAATCATGTAAGATTCTAATATAAAAACGTAAGAACAAAACTAGTTGAAAATGTTCAAAGAAAATTTTTGAGAAGAAAATTCTTTAAATTTCTTTAAAATGAATGAATTATGAAAGTTATTTGATTATTGATATATTACATTCAGCTAAAAATAATTATAAATTTTAAAGCTGGTCATAAACAAATTTTAATCAGCATGTTTGATCAAAATATTCTCCAAAAACATAACCTGGTGTTCCGGGGAGATTTCTTTTCTTCTTGAGAGGAGCAGCCGCCGTTGTTATCAGATTAGGGTTAGGGTTTTGATCGTAGGAGAATGGAAGGATGGAGGAAGAAGGTATACGGAAAGCCTCTCCCGATGACATTCTTGCTCAATCTAAGAAGAAGATGACATAACCAGATCGCTGTTATTGATGAATAAGCTAACCTAAATCCCATAACAACAAAAAAAGAGGAAAAAAGAAAAAAAGAAAAAAGAGAGAAAGTAAGTAAGATAGAGAGAGAAAGATTAGTAGCTTCAGCTTCTGCTCTGTATCTATCTACTAGCCAGCATATATATACAAAAGAAGCAAACAAGAAACAAAACAAGTCTAATACCTGCTAGAAAGAACGAAAGAAATGAGTGAGCGAGATGAAGTTCTTCTTCCTATAGCTCCGTCAAAAGCTCCAAACATTCCTTGGTCAAGTGCGAATATGAGGCTTTTCACTTTCTCCCTCCCTCTCTCTCTCTCTATCTTATTCTCTCTCTAAAGGGTTAGAAAACAATGGTTTTAATTTGGATTTCTGAAAGGATAGGAATCAAATGGGCCACAGGAGCTTATTTGATGAAGGAAGATGACAGAAGGATAGTAGCTCTGAATGGCCTGCCGGTTGTGGGAATTGGCGTCTACTGATTTATTTTAATTATATTTTTGTCTGTCTTTTTCGAGACATGGGAATTTGGTAGCTTTGATGAGCTGAATGATGAAGCAGGTAGATCAGGGAGAAAGTTTTTTTCACCTTTTTCTAGTTTATTGTATAAGATATTTAATTCTAGCAATTTACTTACATATCACATAATCCTTATGTGTATATTTAGTTAAAAAATATATAAGTTTTTCACATAATCCTTACATATCACATTGTTCCTCTTCACCACAGGTTGAGTTAACTCTTGAGCCTCCAAATTGTTCTTCTCAGACTTATCAATCAAATCTTTTTGCAACATACCTTCATCCACCTTGTCTTCAAGAATGTTATTGGCTCCCATTAGTGGTGATCCAAAATTCACATTCCGGACCGGAGAAGTCGGCAACGAAACAAAGTTAAAACATTTGTTGGAATAAACTTTCAATCCAGTTTAAGATCATCCAGTTTAAAAACATAGTTCAAATGATGCTCACCAACACAATACTTAGACTCCATAAATTTGGCCAATAAACTTTTTTTTTCTCTAAAAAAAATATCACAATTTATGATTATAACTCACTATCATGTATGTAAATGTTTTGAAACCTAATTTACCTTCTTCCAAAGTCCGTGAACAATTCTGCCAAGAGCCCCACCCTAAAAAATGTAACTGCAAGTTAGAAAACGAAATCCATATAGGAACAATAGGAGATTCTTCTTTGACATCAAAAAATGGACTCCATTTTAATAACCTCATATGATAGTTAAGAATATAATAATATCTTCTTGCAAAAACCCTACTATAGTCAACATTGTTAGATAACTGAATAGATACATGCCTTTCATTTAGCATTTCAATAGAAAAATTTCCAAACAGTTTCATCTTTCCAAAAATGTTTGAATAACATCTAAGTGAGGTCTACGAACCATAAATTTTCCAATAAGAGTAAACTGAAATGGAGATTCCAGTTTAAAAATATCATTGTCGGACATCAAGATCGCATGAAATCCATTAACTGTAGACTTAGTAAAAGAAAAAGTAGAGTTTTTTTGTTAGGTTAGTTCCCGCTAAAACATGACAAAAAGACCGCAAGGAAGAAGCAAATTTACCATTATAAAGCATACCTTTAGCCGATTCTTGCTTCCCTAAGGGTGGAGCACCCCAAGCGTCAGTAAGGTGGAAGGTGGACTCGTCTCCATCAGAGAGGAGAACAACCTAAGCCCGTAGGCTCAAAACCTAGATAAATGAGATCCAAAATAGTTAGGGAATAAAAAAGAGTAATACCAAACAGTGGAGATCACGGATGAAGACTGAAGGCTGGAATCGTAATGCAGTTGCCAAAGCTGGGGAGCGGGGCTAGGGTGTCGAGTCTTAATCACTTCCCTCTCTTCCTTGAATGTTGACGCTCACTATCTTCTAGTGTTGATTTATTTTTTTAAACCTCTGTGTGTGTGTGTGTGTGTGTGTGTGTGTGTGTGTGTGTGTGTGTGTGTGTGTGTGTGTGTGTGTGTGTGTGTGTGTGTGTTTGTGTGTGCAATATTGGATGTTTGAATCAAGAGGTAATATTATTGAAAGTGATAATTATAATATTATTAAGTTACTTCGAAGCTCTTTAGATAAAACAAGATGGAATATTAAACATATGGAGTTAGAGGAGTTATCCTTTTTAAAGGAGTTCAATAAAAATTTTATTTCATATTTCGAATAGGAGTTGTAGTAAGTTAGTTGATATGTGTGCTAAGAATGCTATTTTTAGTGATTTTATTTGGGATAATGTTATTTGTAATAACATTCCTCCTCTTTTTTTTTTTGTTAAATGATGAATGTGATATATTCTCTATCCACTTAGTAGTTTGTATTAGGTTCTTTTATTAAAGCTATTTGCAATTTTTTTAAAAATGCTTGCTTTTATAAGAATGATAAAAGGCGCATAAAATATATGTTGAACACGCAATAATACATAATATAACATTTAACATAACACAGATACAAGATAAATATTACAGAAGGCACCCAAAGTTCAACAATAGATCTCCAAGCCAAAATTTTCAATTAAGAACAAATTACATGCCAATATCTCCCATAAGTACCTTCATCTTTATAAAAAAATACTATATATTGAAATATTCAAACACTTTTTTAAGAACTCTTCACTCTTCTAAAGAACAAGATTTCAATCTATACCTATTGGCTTTGATATTTTGTAAAATTTTCTTATCCAAAATTTCGATAGCTCCTTTAAAAACAATTATAATGATAGAATTAGGGCTACTCCATCTAGTTTTTATTGGCATTACTTATCTTTATAATAAAATAGTATGATATCTTTCACAAGAAAGAGATCATATAAGAAAACTCTACCATCATGCATCATCCACACTTCTGCTAAATATTTCATTTTATATCCTTAGAACTCCTCTTTAAATTACTGTAATTTATTGATAATAGCAAAACTTTACATGTGGAGAACTGAAAGGCATCCTTATTTTTGGTGTGATCTTCATTTTGATTTTTTGAAGAAGAGCGTATATACTTGATCCTTCCCATCACTTAGAATTGAATTTCTGTGAGAAGAAAGTAAGGTTCTCACTAAAGGTAAAGTAAGGGCTGAGAAGTGAACTTCCTCCAAATATGTTTTATAGATTTCAATGGGAGGAAAGCTTAAAATTTTTGAAATTTAAATAATTATGGCTTGTTGAGGCACTGCCATGATTGAAGAGATGGAACCATGATGCTCCCTTCTTCTCTTATTAATAATTTTTAATTAAATAAAGTAAAACCTTATCTAGAGGATAGGGTTGCCTCCCTAAAATTACTAAATTTATATTCTTTAACTAGACTGAATAATTAATAAGACCTAAGGTTAGGTTTCCACCCAAGCAGTGCTAAGTTTATATTCTTCAACCATATTGCCGACATTTTCCATTTGGCTAAGTTCTCTTCAATTAGGTCGCATTGGTATCTATTTCCTTCTTCTTAAAATTAAATTCAGTGTTATTAGGTAAGGATCCTATGGGCCAACTACTTATAAAAATTACAAATATTTTTAATTGAGTTTCCAAGTTTTTAATTGAAGCAGCTTGGTTTTATAATTGAGTTCTTAATTGCATGAGCACATCTTCTAGTGGTGTCTTTCTAGTTCCATACTGATTTCCTTAATTAAATCCTAGAGGATAAACTTGTCTTGGATTTCTAATAGCTTAATTTTGATTATTCAAATTTACTCCTTGGTTATTTTGATCAAAATTCTAATGATTTCCACCATTATTATTTGACCAGCTAAAATTAGAGTAATTCAACCAACCTAGATTATGTGTATTTGAATAGAGATTATTTTGTCTTCCAAACAAATTTAAATTTTTAATCCTTTGGATATCATTCTCTTTCATTGAGCTTTTATCTTTTAAATGTAAAGATGGAATGAGAATTTAAGCTTAAAATGCTCAAGTCCTTTATTGTTGTTACAACTTCTATTATTAAAATGGACAAAGAATCATTTTCATAGACTCTTGCCACTCTCTCAGGATTCACCCTATCAACATGCACTGGAAATTATTTATTATCATTTCTTCAATTATTTCATAAGCATCCTCAAAAGGCTTTTACATCAAAGAACCTCCAACTGCTACATCAATTATGGATCTAAGGGATCTTACCAATCCATTATAAAAAGTTTAAAATATCAACTAATCAGGCAAGGCATGAGAGGGCACTTTCTAGATATCTCCTTGAATCTCTCCCAACTCTCATAAATAAATTATTCTTCTAATTGCTTAAAATGAGTAATATCATTTCTAAGTTTGGTAGTCTAAGAAGGTGGTAAATACTTTCCTAGAATTTTGTGGGCCAACTAATTCCATGTGGTAATAGAGCTTGGGAGTAAAGAATTTAACCACATTTTTTCCTTGCCTTAAAAAATGGGAACAATATATGTCTAATAGCTTCATCAATAACACATTATACTTAAATATTATATAGATTTCTAAGAAATTTAATAAATTCAAGTTAGGATCTTCAATGGGAATTCCCCTAAACTGAGAATTCAATACCACCTAAATGATTACAAGTTTTAATTCAAAGTTATTAGCATGGATGACAGGTCTATTTATGCTTTGATGAATCTTGTCTATCAAAGGGTTTACAAAATCTTAAGAGGTATAGAATAATCTAAGTCTTAAATAGGGTCACCAAAATTCACAATCTTTTTGGTGGTTCATATTTTAGATAGGGTTCTCTTAACTTTTAAAAGAAAATATTGCAATGGTTCATTTCTATGACTCTATGCATTTAACCACAATTATGCAATAAAAAAATAAAATAAAAGAAAAAAAGAATATAGTAGGACTAATTATATAGTTAATTTATTAATATATTAATTTTTAAATAACATAAATTCTTCCCCAGTAGTGGCACCAAAAGCATGATGGGGGCAATGTACTAACCTAAAGATTTGCGAAAATAATTTAGGGCTTTATCAATCCCTAAATAATGTTTAGGTGGCCACATATGATCACCTAAACCACTTTTTTTCTTCTAACATAGGCTTAACAGATCTATTAAATTCATCAAATACTATATGGGTGGTCTCCTCTATCACTAATGTCCTCTTATTGAAAACTTTATTGGATTTACCTACAGTTGAATATCCTTGGAAAACTATTTCATCCGATTTAGGATCAAAAATTTTTATTGGAGATTTTCCATTTTAAGAATGAATACCTTACATCCAAAGACATAAAGGTCAGAGAGATTGGGTGCTCTTCCCTTGAGTAACTCATAGGGGTTCTTATTGAGCTTGTATCTAATATTAACCCTATTGAGAACATAGTAACTAGTATTCACTACTTCTACCAAAAATAATTAGTAAGTGAGTACTCAGCAAGCATGGCTTTAGCAGCTTCTACTAGGGTTTTATTCTTTCTTTCAACAACCCCTTTTTGCTGAGGGGTTTTAGGAGCTACAGAATTGTGTTTTATGCATATATCCTTATAAAATGATTCAAACTTATCATTTTCATATAATCCACTTGGATTATTATGGATAGTTAGGATATCACAACCTAATCTTTTCTGAATCCATGAGGAGAATGTCCTAAATCCCTCAAAAAAATTCATTCTTATGTGATAGAAATTTAATCCAAGTAATTTTCAAGTAATCATCAATAATCACATATCCATATATTATTCTGCTTATGTTAGTAGTGTTAACCGGTACAAATAGATCCATATGAAGTTCTTCTAAGGGTATAGGTTGTAATGTGCTTAACTGAGTGAAAGAAAGTTTTGGTTTGTTTCCAAGTTCACATGCATCATAGAGGTGATCCTTAGAGAAATTTAGTTTGGGTATGCCTCTAACTAGGTCATTTTGGGTTATTTTTTCTTAGTTTTTTTTCATGCTTGTATGGCATAGTCTCTTAGGCCATAGCCAAGAGTCATCAGTAATTATTTTGAAGAAAAGGGAATTAGTAGATTAAATATAGTTTAAATTAAGCATGTAAACTTTATTAATTCTCTCTTTTTCTAAAATAGTATTCACATTTAAACTAGTCATGTGACTAGTAGATAAAATTTTAATGAGAAAGCCTTTTCCACATAGCTGACTTATTTTAAGCTAGTTATGTTTCAAGCTATCTAATATTAATATATTTTCAATAATAAAATTCTTAGAATTACCAAAAATATATGTACCTACAACTTTTCTACTGATATTATCTCTAAGGGTGACCTTACCTCTTGTCCTAGCCTCCAACATGATGAATTGCTTCATGTCTCCAGTCATGTGCCTTGAGCATATACTTTCTAGGTAACACATTCTATCATTAAGACTTTTTGTGAGAGCACTCCAGTAAATTAAACATTAGATTTGGGAACCCAAGTGAGTTTGGGTTCTACCTTATGCCTTGATGAATAACTTGCATGCATGTTATACTGTGGTGTAAACGGTTTAGATCTCCATACTATATGTTTCCTATGGGGTATCATTCAAGTACTGATTATGTGACCTAGCATGCCATAATAATGTCACCTAAAATAAAGGAAAGGGTTCATGAATGTACATGATTTATGGTGCCTCTTCGTAGGGGTATATGATGCATGAAGTGATGTGGGATTATGTTACTGTGTCAATATGGGTGGTGCTCTATTTTTTTGCAGTGCATGAATTTTTTCATTTAAAATTTGATTCATACTTTCAAGATTTGTATCTTCTAATCTTAATGCATGCTCACTACTATATAGTTCTGATGCACATTTTTTTAATTATTTTTATGCATTTTCTATCTCAAGATGCTCTGATTTCAAGGATGCATATGAGATAGATAGATAAATATACTACTTATTTAATGCATCATATTCATCAAGTAAAGTGAGATGCTCATTATCTAATATAGAATGACCAATTTTATTGCTATCATGCTCTTTTTACAAACTTCAAAAATCAGAATTCATACTAGCGTATATTTTCTTAAGCTTTCTATATGTATTACGAATTTTGTCAAAAACTTTAAATAATTCATTTTATAAAAGCTCACATACCTCCTCTTAGTTAGAATGATTAAGACTATTATCTTCCATAAGGCACATATTAGTTACCTCCTCTTCCATTTTTATTTATAATAAATTTGAGGTGGAGTCTACCCAAAATGCCTTATATATATATATATATTGCTTCCTCTTTTTAAACATTGTTTTCTCTTCACCCTTCTCCTTGATCGAGTGAACTTTTAGGTTGGGGAAATCCATTCTCAAGTGGCCAAGCTTTTTGCATTTAAAACAAATTATATCAGATGATGTTTGGAAAATCTTTTTTGGTTTCCCTTTATTCCACTACTGATGATACTTTTATTTTCTTCTTTGAAGGTTTTTGAATTGTCATGTCAGGAGTAATATGTCATCATATTCCTCAACTATAAAGCTATCACTTTCAGATTCATTTGCCTTTAGTTCGACCATATTATCCTTTGTTTTATCACTTACATCATACAATCTCTAACTCACACCTTGCTTATAGGCAATAAGTGAGCCTAGCAAGTTATCTATAAAATTAATGTTAAGATGATTTTATTCACAAGTGGCAATAACCTTAACATCATAATTGTTAGGCAAACATAGAATAATTTGGTTCACTTTCTCAGAATTTGAAATCTCTTTACCTAATGAATGTAGAGATGTTATGATTTGTGTAAACCTAGTGTACATGTCAGATAATTTCATTAGATTTCATGTGAAAGAGTTCATAATTATACGATAGAATGTTTAACCTCACTAGTTCCTTCATATGTAATGCACAATTTATCTCAAATGTTATTACTAGTGGTACAGGTAGAGACTCTCATGTAATCTTAATACTTAAGAGCACAAAAAAAAAAAAAAAAAACACTTTGCATTCAGTTGAGCTAAGTCTATATCCACATTGCTCAATGGTACCTCAATTTTGATTCCATTAATAAAATGAGAGGGAGCAGTATAACCCTCTTGTACAAAATACCACACGAAAAATCAAAAGATTGCAAGAAAGTAGACATGTAAATTTTTTAAAAATAATTTAGTATGTTATCAAATAAAGGTGCATGCATTATAGATTATTGTTGTGGTGCTCCTATTTCCAAAATGTGCCATGGATCTTCTTTCTCAAGGTTATAAAAAATGCTACTTGTGTGAACCTCTTTGATACCAATTAAAAGTTTGATGAATGATGTTAAGCCTAAGTGAATTATCCCTATGCACACCAATAAGGTTGTGAATTGGGGGATTTAAAAACTAACTACTTCAAAATATAATAAATATATTTTTAGATTTTTTCAATAATTAAAAAGTAAGAAACAATTATCACTTGATGCTAAACTAAATAAATTTATTAAAAGTTACAATAATGATGATATATTCTAATCAATTTAATGAAGCATCAATCATCAATTTTCAACAAGTAATTATCATAGAAATAAAATGAAAAAAGTAAAGTACAAAAAATAAGAAATCAGAATCAGCACACTAAAATTTTATAGTGATTCTGTTAGATATTGACCTATGTCCACTCCCCGGAGTCCTCCTCTCCGAGTATTGCACTAGTCCATTAATGTCTCTCCTTTAGCCCCCACAGCTAGGCGAAGAAGCCCTTACAATCTTGTCATCAACCCAATGCGGTAGAGAAACTTGACATCCTTTCTTAGCATCCTAGCGAAGGCAGAGAATGCTGACCTCTTATCTCACCCTTCTGGCGATAGAAATGAACCTCGACCTCCTTTATCATCCCCCGTATGATGGTAGAGAACCTTAGCCTCCATTTTTACCCTCCAAGTGAAGGCAGAGAACCTCGACGGTCTCTGAGCTGAAGAACTTTTTCCCAGAGCCATACAAGAAACCAAGACATGCACCAAGAAGAAACAAGGAAAGACACAAGCTTAGAGAAACCGTGTGAAACCCTCACACTACTTCTTCCTCAAAAAAAAGACCTCCCTTTCTTCTTCTCAATTCTCTCCAAGCTCTCTCTCTCCAGAACACTTAATAGCCAAAGACTTAAAATAAGTCTATTAAGATATATTATGTACAAGGCTATACCAAAAGCCCTAGAATTTAATTATGTTATCACTGATCATATAGTATGATCCAAGGTCATATGAGATAATTAGTTTAAATAACTCTATTAGTACTGTACGATGTGCAAAGTACTACACGATCTGTTCAACTGATTGAGCTGATTATCCAGTATGATATGAAGCATCATCTAGTAAGATTAGTTCAAATGACATGGATTATCATCCCGTATGATTGGAAATGATATAAATATCGTCACATGTAGAAATCG